TAACACCCTCCAGTTCCAACCACGTCGTTGCAAATGGCAAGCTCTCATTCCTTTTGATGGCTGCATAATATTCCATTGTGTATATATACCACCTCTTCTTTATCCATTCATCTGTCGATGGACATCTTGGCTCTTTCCACAGTTTGAGACCCTTAATTTAATTGCACCTGCAACGTCTATGGCCATACCACCCTGAACGCGCCCGATCTTGCCTCACTACACCGCAAAGACCCATTTTTCAGATAAGGTCACAGTCACAGGTTGCAGAGATTAGGAAGCAGATATATATTTTTTCAGGGGAGGGCACCATTCAACCCACTATAGCACCCAATATTTGCGAAGCGAAGAACTGAATGTTAGATGGCATAAAGTTCTTCCTGACATTTTTGTTTTGGGGCAACAGGGTGATTAGCAAGAACACAGTGCAGCTATGCTGTTCGTGACCACAGGAAGCACATGCCCGGCAGCAGCCCCTCTACGAGCCCCCCTTGGGTTCCGAGGGTCGGGGCTGAGAGAGCTGAGTGGGGTGTGCTGGGCTTCTCTGTAGTAACTGAGCAAAGGAGCAGGTGCTCCCGCACAACCAGCCTCGGTCCTCACCATGCATCTTCCCTCCTTCTTGCCTGCCTCGCCATCGTGCTCAGTGATGTACTGCTTAGTAGAAATGCCTGGTTAAAAATCATGGCTTTGCGAGGCAAGAGCAATTCCACATCAATCTGCTGCCGAATCGCTAACGTCATGGGCAAAATGGTACAAAACATAGAGCAGCCCTCTCTGGAGGATTCCAGATTTGAACCACTCACATGTCACCAGATTGGCCTTTGACCACGTTTGTGATAAGACAGAGGCAGAGAGCTACGGGATGGAAGGGGTGGGACCCTGTCATGTCAATGCAACATCCTTCACAGGGCCTTGGTCTGGCAGGAGAAGGTTGGTTAAAAGGCCACACCAACGCATCCACTTGAACCCGAAGGATGGAATTACAGGAGGGCACAGCGTGGCTGACAGACACCATGCCCACTAGTTAACACGGGCAGGACACAACAGAGAGGGTTGGATGCCTCTGTGCATATAACATTTTCATTATGCCCAGTCGTTCAGGCCTTGTTGATACGGAAATAAATCAGTGTTACACATGAAACTCTGGAGTGGGCCTGCCACCCTGCCTTGTGTCTTCAAAGCACTGCAAGTACCAGACGAACGGGGGAAATGCTGAGAAGCCAGGAGAAGAGTGGAAGAGCTTGAGCCAGGCTACCTTTGCCGCTAACTTCTGGCCCGGCAGCAAATGGCACGAGCCGAGAATACTTGGTGAAGAATGGTTTCGAAAGCATGACGTGTGGGCAAGGAACGGTGGCGTGACCCAGACAGGACCCCTCCCCCACGCCCCAGGTCCCAGCGGGATGGGCGAGGTGTTCCTCTGTGCTCTCCTGGCCTAGAATCCTACTGTCTCGGCTCCCGCGTGGAGCACGGAGCTGTGCCTTCCCTAAGGCCCGGGTGCCCATCACCAGCTCAATGTGCGCTTCATCAAGGGGCAGAGGACGCAGGATGGCAGCCTGGGAACCAAGGGGGCCTGGCGTCACTCTGGGAGTTGAAACGCACACGCTACAAATGATGTGTGTTTTGAGCTTTCCTGAAGCCTGCTCTCCACAGCCCCATCTCCATTCACTAATCCCTGTCAGTCACTGCTAATGAGCGAGCAAGAACTGAACAAAAAGATGGAGCGGAGGGAAGGAAATTAGAAGTCACAGTTCATTAATCTACAGAGAGAGGAATCCGCACACTTCCTCACACCACCAGGAGGAAGAATGATTAAGAAGGCTCGAGCTGCCCCATGGCTCTGCCACAGAAGTCCCTGAAATAATGGAAAATATAATTGATAGGAAAAAATCAAGTGCTGCCTATGTGATTATGTGGCAGCCAACTTTTCAAAACACGACTATTGACCTGGCGCCGGCGAATCCAGCTGGGTCTATACCCGAGGTAGTTGCAAGCAGCCATGAAAAATAAACAGATCGTTCACATTAAGGCTGTTGCCGGTTTTCAGTGCTAGAACTGAAAAGCAAGAATGGTTTTGGGCCATTAGAAAATTCTCTTGATCGGCAGGGATTTGCTTTTTTTTTTTTTTTTTTGTGCAGGGCAAAACTATGATGGTAAATAAATAAAACACCTCTGCTGGGTAGGGAACCCAGAAGAAAATGGCAAGCTTTCTGTACATGTTAAAAGATGGCCACGGGAACAAATCTGTTCACTAATTTTTTAGTTTTCTTTTCCCAAGCACGGACACATACCTGATTCAGCACGTGAAGGCTGAATCTAGCAAAGGGAAATAATATGATGGTTAATTAGGGAAAAAGAGAGCAGGAGGCGTGAATGTGAGCACATACTATGGGAAGAGGGGGAAGGCAGACAGGGGAGCGGGTCCCAGCCGTGTGCTTCTCTGGTAAGCGAGACGGAGAACACCTCACACCCGCCACCCACGTGAGCCTCACGACAGTCCCAAAGAGCTCACCATCTTCATCATTACCATCATGCCCATTTTGCAAATGGAAAATATGGAGTTCAGAGAGGTCGAGGAACTCCCCGGGGGTCATACAGCATCTGAGGGATGAACTGGAATGTGAATCTAGGTCTAGCTGACATGGAACGTTTTTCAAACTCATCGGTGGTTCGACAACCCTAACAAAGTCAAGAAAATAAGCAGTGAGCATCATGCTTGGGGTCTTGCCATCCCAAAGCTGAGGGACCTTAGGAAATGTGACACCCTCATCTCTCCTCGTCTGGGAGCCCTGGGCCGGCACGTCCCAGACGCAGCAAAGAAAGCTTATCCTGAAATGGGACCCCGGGGTCCTCTGTGGCTGCGATGAAGGAATTCCTGAAGTCCCTGCTGGTGGCCCCTCTGGTCCTGTGTGGATGCCAGGAGCAAAACCGTATACTCCCCGCATCGCACACAGGCGGGCTTCGACCAAACGCCCTGGTCCGCCTGGGAGGCCGGGCCACTGACCTCCAGCAGATGGGAGGTGTGTGAAACAGTGTTCACCACACATCGGGCCTCAGGACACACCCGCAGCTTGGAGTCACTTCACACCTGAGCGTGGGATCGATGCCCGGCCCTTCTGGGCACCTACAGCATGGGACACCCGCATGATGGGCACGGCTCTGGGTAAAAACACCCAGCCCCAGCACCAACACACACATGCTCTCTGCCCCTCGGCTGGGTTTGTTTTTGGTCTGATACTTCCACGCAAGTCTACATTTACCCATCTCTGACCCTATAGAATCTGAATGGCTCGGTGCTGAGAGCAGGCCAAGCAGACGCAGCTCTGCCCCCTTTCTTGCTTAGAGAGATCCCTTCGGATCTCCAAGCCCTGGTGATCTTGCTCATAAAACGGGGAGTAGCCACACACCCCAAGACTATCGGAAGGATGAAGGAGGAGTGTGCGCAGAGTGCTGGCACCCTGTCCAAGCCAGACTACAGTCGCTACTATCCCATGACAAATGATAAGGGACGGCTGGGTCCCTCCCTGTCCCAGCCGTCCACCGCCACATTTGGCGGCACAACGACAGCAAGGCCCCCCAGAGACTTACTTCCGGCGACAGTGTGCCAAGAGGCCCCATTGACGGTCCCGTCCTCTTTCTGGAAGTCCTCTGTGTGGCACACCCTCCGCCGGGCATCGGTCATGAGGCGGTGCGTGGAGGCGTAGGAGTAAGCCAGCCAGCGGAACACGTGGTCGTCGGGCGTGGGGCTGGGCTCCTGTGTCTTCCACAGGGACCGCACCATGTCGTAGGGGTACGCCACCACCAGCTCGCCGCCCTGAAGGTTGCCGCCCAGGACAAAGGGGATTTTTTCCATCCAGGCTATGACAGCCCTGGTCTCTACCGCCACCTGCAAACATGGCGAATTTAGGCAGGCTTCGAGAAATAAAAATCAGAAGGAAACTGCACTCTCGTCCTACTTTCCAAACAGGGGTGTAGTTGAAAGAGCCACCATTTTATGGAATACTTGTAGGAAAAATGTAGAATTTCAAAATCGGTCCGAGGAAAACTGGACTTTGTGCAAATCATGGATTAAAAAAAGAGAAATCTAGGGAAGTTTCTTTTTTGCAGGAATGTTCCAGTTAATGCCCAGAGGGAAAGACAGAGTTAGCGTATCAACACTATGGCAACTCCAGTGAATCAATGGGCCAGGCATGTTCATCCCTGGCTCCAGAGAGCGCAGAGAAAGAGAGAAAACCAACAGAATGTGTCTCCCGAGGGAAGGACATACACCTCAAAGAAAAACATCAACCCGGAAAATGACCAAGCCTCTAATCTGGGGGCCGGCAGCCTTTTTCTGCAAAGGACCAGATGGGAAATACTTGAGGTTTTGAGGGCCCTGCAGTCTCTGTCCCAACTACCCAACTCTGTCCTAGTAGCTGGGGAAGCACCAGAGACAATATGCGAATGGTGTTCCAATAAAACACCACTTACACCAACAAACCTGGGTGGGAAGTAGCCCACCTACAGGTTGTAGCTTGCCGACCCTGTTCCGTGGAGCCCAGTCCATTCTACATCTCGTGCCAATTTACGGGAAACACAGAGGTAGAGGTTACATGACACGGTAGGTATATAGTTGGCAGCACCCAGACGGTGGAAAACGCGACAAGACGATCTAATCTAGTTGCTGACAACCTAGTTGTTACGAGATAAGCAACGAGCTGAACAACAGCAAAACTGCGAGGATAAAAGGCAGGAAGTGAAACAGGAGAAAGCTTCGGGTTAAAGGAGACTGGAAAGCCGGTGCACCGATCACAATGAGGGAGCTTTAGTTGGCTCCTGATTTAAACAGACCTGGGTGTCTCAGTCGGGTAAGCGGCCGACTCTTGATTTGGGCTCAGGTCGTGGTCTCATGGGTCGTGAGATCAAGTCCCACAAAGGGCTCCACGGTCAGTGGGGAGACTGCTTGAGATTCTCTCTCTCCCTCTGCCCCTCCGCCTCCCTCTCTCTCTAAAACAAATAAATAAATCTCAAAAAAGAGAGAGAGAATGGTAATAGGGCAAACGTGAACCCTGCCTGGATATTTCATAATACTAAGAAATAATTGATTTTGATATAATAATGGTAATTGTTCATGGTTTTAAAAGAGGCTCTGAACTTTTAGAGATACTTACTGAAATATTTGCAAATGAAATGACACCACCCCTGGGATTTGCCTCAGTAATTCTGGGAAGGAGGAGAAAGTGGGTGCAGATGTAGATGGACCGAGAACGGACAGGTGTTGAAGGTGAGATGGGCACACGGGGGGCCTGAAAGCTTTCGCTCCAATTCCATATGATTGGCATTTTTTTTTTTAATGATAAAAAGTTGAAAGAAAGAAAGAAAGAGAAAGAGTGGGAGGGAGGGAGGGAGGGAGGAAGGAACTCACAATGTTAGAAGCAAAAATTAGAAAGCCTGACATGGTCAATACTGATACGAATTCAATTATTTATCCTAAGTTACTGATTCCTATGAAGAGAATTTCAGCAGAAGAAAATTTGATAATGGAGAAGGAATAAACACTCGAAATGGCTTAGCTGTGCAGTACAGAAAGTTGATTGAGGAATGAAATTGACTTAGGATTAAGTTTTGTTTTTATTCCTAAACACATCAGGGGCCCTGGACGGGACTACTTGTTGTAGAACTTGGCTCATGACACAGTATCATCGCTGATCCATGCATGTCCTCTTCTCTATGTAGATACAATAAACACCCATAAACCCACCATCCGTGCCCAAAACCAGATCTTACGGACAATTTCTGTGTAATATGTGGCTCCCCTGCCCCACCCTCCCGCTTCCCACTCGGAGGTAACCCCTGTAATCCTCAATGATATGATTCTCATTCTTTTTATTTTATCCTCTATGTGTGTGCTTAAAAATACATTATTTGGTTTTACTTGTTTTTGCTCTTTAAAAAAAGGGGGGTAACCATACTGATTGTTGTCTTCTGCAATTTTTTTTCTCTCCATTCATGTTTCCAAGGTGTATCTCTGCATTGTTGCCCAATTGCCCAAAGCTGTAGCTCAGTCTTTTCCACTTCGGTATGACAATGTCATCATTTATCTGTCCTTGTGATGGTGGGCAAACAGGTAATTTTCAATTTTTTGCTGGACTGAACAGCGTTGCTTTGAGCTTTCTTCTGGTATACGTGTGCTGAAATTTATCTTGCACAAATCGCCAGAAGTGGGACTGCAAAGTCATAGGAAATACACATATTCCACTTTACAAGATAATCAAATTATTTTCCAAAGTCACGGTGCTAATTTACACTTGCACCCACAATGCATGAGAGATCCACTGGCCCCACATCCTCTCCAACGCCCAACTACTGTCAGACTTCTTAATTTGCCAGCCAGTGGGTGTAAAATGTTCTCTTATTTGCATTCCTTAGTACTAGTAAGGCTGAACATATTTTCGTGTTTATTAACCATGTTTCCTCTTCCACAAATTGCCTCTTCATATTCTTATACCATTTTTCTATTGAGCCGTTTATATTTTTCTTATTTGTTCTTCTTTATGTATTTTAAAGTTCTCATTCTTTTCCAGTTACCTATTTTGCAAATAATTTCTCTCGGTTTTTAGCTTCTCTGTTACAGTTTTTAAAATTTTTGATGAGCAAGCTTTCTTATTTTGAGGTAGTTGAGTTTATTAATCTTTTATTTTATGACTAATTGACTAATGTCTTTTAAAATAGCCTTCTTCACCCTGAAACTAGTTTTCCGTATTATAAAGACTCACTAAGAGCTTTTACTGGGAGTGATTATTAAATCTTATCAAATGATTCTTTCTACAGACAGATCCCTTCGTAATTTTCTTCTTGGTTTTCTATCATTTCATTGATTTATACTCTTATTTTTTTATCACAATCTTTATACATTTGGGGGGGGTTTCTTCTGTTATTCCTGTGCTAGTTTCTTTACCTATTTTTTAGCCTTTCTTCTTTGGAATATAATCACTGAAAGGTATAAAATTCCTGAAAGCACAGGAGTTTCTGTGGCCCTCTGCAAATTTTGATTTGTAACGTTTTCATTACTGTTGGGCTCCGATTATTTTTTAGTTGCCAGTACGGTCTTTCTCTTTGACTCATTTCTAGAAGTATTTTTTTTTTTTATTTTCTAAAGACGTGGTGATATTTTCATTAACCTTATTACTGTCTTTGGTTGAACTGTACGTTGGTGAGAGCATCATGGTCTGACTCGTATTCTCTGAAACTGGGTGAGATTTCCTTTACAGCCCAGAGCATTGTCAATTTTTGAAAACACTCCGGGGATTACTCAGGAGAATATATTATCATCTACCTAGTGGTTGTAGACTTCTTATAGATCACTATGTCAAGCCTGTTGACTGCTCTTCAAGTCTTTATCTTTGCTGACTGCTTATCTAATGTAACCACAATTGAAAAAGATATTTGCGGTGGCAGATCTGTGTAATTCCCCATGTGTTTCCCAAAAACAAGCTCAGAAAGCTAAATTCAAGTCTTAAAGCAAAGACTGATATCCAAGGACTTTCTACGGCTATGAAGAATTCCTTATTTCTCATAGCCTCAGGGCCAAGAACGCTGGCAACCATATTCCAATTCTGGTCCAAGAGTTCCCAAATTATAACATAACTTGAATTCTCAGCTTTACCAGATGTCATTAGTACAATAGTCTGAAAGCAAAATGTGTGTGTGTGTGTGTGTGTGTGTGTGTAGGGGATTGTATAGGATGGAATTAGGAAATATGAGAGAGAATGCAGAAGACTCAGAGGCCCTGAACCCTCTACCCCCCCATAAGCTGCCCATGGGCACCCTAACCACACCACAGATACTGCCACTGTCTGTCTACATCACTTGACTGGTTGCTTCTTGAGGACCTGGATAAACCATCCTGCATATCCCTAAATGAGGCAACCATGCTGGCCTTCCTCCAATAAGTGGTACCCACCCATGCGGTGGGCTGGAGCCCCAAGGCAGAGCGGGGGAGTTGCCTTCTATCCATTCATCATGTCTTCCTTGATTCCTCAGGAACAGAAGCTCGTTATGTTTATTTTTGTTTTCTTGAGCTCGCAATGTGCTTGCCTAAAACATAGCATTTTCCGGCCTTCCCCGCAGTGGGTTGATAGCATGTTTTGACTAAATTCTGGCCAATGAGATTGAAGCGTAAGTATTATGGAGGAAATCTAGGAATGACTCTTAAAATTAACTGAATTATCTAAGAGGAGGATCTTTTTTCTTTTTGGTTTTCTTAACTCTTGTTTCCCTCTTCCTTCACAGAGATGACAGCTGGACCCACTGCCATCTTGGATTCTGAGAATGGAAGTCACATGCTAACATGGCAGAGGCAGAAAGACAGACAAATCATTGGTTCCTGATGCTCATGGGGCTTCTATCTGGCCGGGCTTCTATCATCTGCCTTTAGGGTCCTTCTATATATAAATAAATAAATAAATAAATAAATAAATAAATAAATAAATAAACAAACTTCTCCCTCATTAAGCTGTTGCCATTTTGGTTTTTCCATTGTTCCCACTGAACCTAACCCTAACTCATACAAGCAATCAAGACAGCCCTCCTGAAGGACATATACTATCAGAGGTCAGGGGTAAAGAGGTAGATGACTATGGGCAGGGGAGGCAATAAAAGGCATGCAAAATTTTGTGAAAATTCTTTCTCCAACATATATTCTTTGCAAAAGAAGACTGGAAAATTTGGGGGGAACATTTCTCATTCAATGCATTTTTTTTTTCTTTCCAAAGAAGCATGACATGTAATAATCCGTGGGGATTTATTAAAATAAAATTAAGATCTCTCAAGCAATCAATAAGGTCTAAGGACAATTTCATAGCAATTCCATAGCACTGCCAAAGCTGAGGGTAGTAAGGATAGTAATGACCACATAGAATTCAGGGGCAGGGTTTTTGGCTTTTGTTGTTGTTGTTGTTTTTAAAGCCCTGTGTGGTTGTAAAGAAATCTAATTCAACGATTTCTCTTTTATGAAGAATATCCACAAATGTAAACTTTAAAGGTAGTTATTATCTAGCACACTTCCCCACTTTAGGAGAAAACATGAAAGAAAAAAAAATAGTTTTGTCTTGTTCTTAAATGTCAGATCCTCCGCAAATACCAGCGGGTGTTAACTTTGGCCTTCCACTGCTCTGCAGATGACGGGGTATTTTTACTCACCGTGGCATTTTCAGACAGAAACCACTCAGGGATTGCAATATAGTGATTGGGAACTTTCCTTGGAATGTTCTGTCGGTCCTCTGCCTCCCAGAGCAGCGTGTTTAAGTCGGGAAAGTTGTTGTTGATGTCGATGCCATCGTGGGTCCAGCGCCCCAGGGACCAGCCACCCAGCTCCGAGCCCTGGGGGACAATTCCAAGCGTGAGGGACCCACAGGCTTCCAGACTTCTCTCACACAAGACGTCCCCGTCTCCACGCCCACCATCCCCACCTGGGTGTGTCTCTAAGCCTCAGGGCCCTCTGGCCCAAAGACAGCACCCAGAACACTGAAGCATCTTCTAGTACTACTTGGTGGGTGGTGGGTAATATCGCCAAATCACCCCAAGAGGGAATGCAGAGCCTCACCCCAGTCACATGGCAGTGTTCAAGAAGTATTAAAATTTCTTCTCCCCTACCCCCCACCCCCAGAGAGCTTCTAGACTGGTCAGATGAAACTCTGTGTAGGAAGGAATCCAAGAGTCCGGCATTGCAAAATCAACCACCACCGTGTTAACTTATTCTCCCTGCCACGCCCATGAGTCGGGCTTGCAAACCCCTGACCAACAGATCCTGCAAATCGGGCACTGAAAATCCCTAGCCAACTCTGTACCCATAAACACAACCACAATTCTGTATTATAAGGCATGCGTGTGATGGGTACCAAGCACAGTTTTCCACTTTATTCCCAGATAATACTAATAATAGCCTATACATAACTATAACCTACACAAACTCTACGTCATAATTAGAACATGAAATGTAAACAATATGTCAGAATAATAAAAACAACTCTTCTCGGAGTACTGAAAGAATTATAGGCAACAAGTGAATTGAAGGCCTGCCTTGATTATGTGCTCCATCAATGTTCAGTGTTATTTTTATTCTGTTCTGTTGTGATCACTGAAAATGCAACCAGTATTATTCCTTCATGTTCACTTTTTCCAGTTTGTTGGCATGTCTACCTCTCGGGTACCCACGATTCTCAATTCCTGCTTTGCATCTTTCACGAGCCCTGTGAGTTTCCCTGCCTCAGCAGAGAGACACTGAAAGGGAAGCCAGTGATATGGAACAGAAATTGACTCGTGGCCCAGCGTGCTCTGCGGCTGGGGCCTACCGGCTGCCCCGACCAAGAGGAACAGCATCATTACCCCTTCATAGGCCTTCTCATAGCCATCGGGGTTGAGGGAGGGGAGGATGTGAATCCGGGTCTCCTCCACCAGGCGGACGATGCGCGCGTTGCGGGCCAAGTACTCTTGGCACAGGAACTGCATCAGCAACAAGGTCAGCTCTCGGCCCAGCACCTCGTTGCCGTGGGCCCCTGCGATGTAGTGGAACTCCGGCTCACCTTTACTCAAAGACGGGAAAAAAATACAGGTTCATATCGATGCTTCTAGCAGGACAGCCCTTACCATTTAGGATTAAAAAACCTCTGAGTAATATCAACTTACAATTCTACCCTATCTCTTCTTTCAAAATGGCCCCCCAAATTATATCACTATACTTTTTTTTTTAATTCCCAAATAGGCATATAAGAAAATGTGTAGAAAACTCTTAGATGATACCAGCCCCTGAGTAATCATGTTTATTTTTATTTAACGAGAATGGAGAAAGTAACACAGTGCGTAGGGTTTAAAATTTACAAATGAAACACAAGCCCTAACAATGATTTTTCTCTTTTGGGAGGCAATCGTTCTTCTCAAAAGAAGGTCCTATTAAATCTTACAAGGACACAAAGATGGATAAATAGAAGCAGAAAACAGATCAGCAGGGGACATCAACACTGACACAATTTTGTAAGGGGGCTGGCTGCCTTTGAGGTTTTCCTCTTCTGAGCTCAGCTTTTCCAGTGTTGGGGCTTATCAGTGCCCAGCATGGGCTGACAATACTTCTTCTCTCACTGGCAAAGCTACTGCTTTTAAGGAAATGTGATTTTTACCTGCAGATCAAGCCCTTACCCTTTCAAAGAAACTCCTAAGAGGAACTCCTGAAATACTGACAAATTTGGAGTTGAATGAAGCAGACAAATCTCAGACTTAATCATCGGTGGATTTCTAAAGGACTCGTAGATTTACCAAAAAGAAAACCTGAGAAGCCCCTCTGACCTGGAGGAGAATCCAGGTTCCAGAGGGACTGAATGAGAAATGGCTGAAGATAGGAAATGCTCAAAAGTAGAATTAAATAAAAAAAAAAAAATAGGGGACCTCCCTCTAACTTAAGCCATTAATAACTTAAGTCCAGAACTTTCTTCTATAAAAGGATTCAGTCCTAACCAACTCTGGCCACTTTTTTCTTTGGTCAGTGTGACTGGCCTCAGACCTGGAGAATAGAATTAAATGTGGTTCATTTGGAGAAAAGGAAGGTATCTCTACCTTAAATAAGTCAACAGCCCATATCACAAGATAAGAGCGTCACGGAACCAAAACTGGCAGACTCTGTGTGAGAGAGTGGTGAGTGGACAGCGCCTGGCCTGTTTCATGAACGTTCTCACAGAGGGGAGCCATCTCCTGGCTCTTTAAGAAGGCACAAGACATGGAGGGACAGGTGCCTCACAGAGGGGTAACCTCACCGACTTCATGCTCCCCAGGGTGGTCAGAGATCTCCACGGCATACAGCTTCAGGCCCTGGTGGCTCTTGCCAATGTTGTAAATTCTGGTGATGTTGGGGCACATTTCGTTCACAACCTTCATCAGCTGAAAAACAGAATGGAGTTAAGGCTCTAAGCAATGATGGTCGTGCTCTAAAAGGCACAGAGCTCCCAAGATAGCACCCCCTGGTCCCCTCCCACAGCCCCCCTGCATGCCCTCACCCTCCCCAAACACCAGGGCTATCCCCTCCACCTGGAATGTTCTCTTCGGGTTGTGAGTCTCACCTTCCTTGGCTGTGGGCTTACCTTTTTATTGTGGTTTCCTGTTTTATTTTTGTCTCCTCGCTAGACTACAGATGCTTTTTTTTTAAGATTATGTTTATTTATTTGACAGAGAGAGAGAGCACAAGCAGGGGGAGCTGCAGGCAGAGGGAGAAGCAAGCTCCCCGCTGAGCAAGGAGCCCGATGCGGGACTCAATCCCAGGACCCCGGAACCATGACCTGAGCCAAAGGCAGACGCTTCACCAACTGAGCCACCCACGCGCCCCAAGACTACAGATCTTTTAAGGGACAGATTGAGCCTTTGCTCTCCATAACCCTGCCTAAATAAATATTTATTACCAAATATCAATTTTTTCTCATAATTTAATGAGCATCTTTGGTGTGTCAGGCTGAGGGAAGACACGGCTTCCACCCTCCTGGAGCTTACGGTGCAAAACAGAGGGGAGTCATCTGATGACCCAGTTCACTGATGCTAAGTAAGGGGCTGCAGGGAAGCCATGATAATGGCGCATCACGTGGTGAAAAGGTGGGGAAAGCAGGCTTTGACGAGGAAGTAAAAATCGATATGTGTTATTTCCTGAATTTTACATTTAAAGTTGAGCTCGTTAGACCGAGAGCTTCGGTCTGAAGGGATGAGATGAGCTGCCAAAGGAGGTAAGGAGGGCTCTGCTGGTCACAGGAGTACAGGCTGCCCTTGAGAGGAATCGGGGGGGGGGGCTGTTGGGGACTCTCGTCCACAACAGGGCAAAAGCAGAGGCCCGCCATCATTGGAGAGACAGCACGTGAGGGAACCACGGCTTCTACGCCCATCACCATGGGGACACATACATGCTGCAGGGTTGAAGTGGGACCACGTGCACAGCACCACATCTTCCCAAGGGACACAGTGTCACTAATAATGTCAACTATTGCATTAGCCACACATTCTATCTCTTCACTGATTTTCACTGTCATGACCTGCAGGTGAAGTAAGTAAGGCAGAGGTGATTGTCCCCATTCTACAGATATGGAGACAGAGGCTCGAGAACCATTAATGATTTGCCCAGGGTCACCCAGCTGGTACCAGGTGCTGTGGACTCAGGGCTCTTCTGCGTCCCTGAAGGTGCAGCAAAGCAATGAACACCAGCACATCTCTGCTGCCCGTTTTGTCAGCTGCACGCCATGACCATTCTGAAGATGGCCACAGCACAATCACCATCTGATTTAGGGTCCCACGTACCAGTCCCTGCAGACTGCAGTCATCCTCATCTACCACCATCAACCTCAGCAAATCCTGAGCAGCAGATGATCCACCGCCTTGGTTCAGATCAATGACTAGTTCTGCAGACACAGCCCCTCCAGTCATCCTTAAACTAGGCAACAAACACAACCATCCAGCACACAGCTTGGCTGTCACTTAATGCCTACCCTCCTCCTCCGTCCAATCAGCTGCAGGAGCAACATGCCACCTGTGTTTGAGATCAGGACCTTGACACTGGAGCACAAACTCCACCTTCCGTTGGATGCACACTTAGCCGTGGAGACACCGCTCGGTATGGGACAGCCTCAGCCGTGACTCACCAGTCACCTTTTTATAGCCCAGCCATCCTAGCGTTTTCCTCCCAGCCACATTCCCTCCATGTGCTGTGGTGTCATGAGCACCTTTACACATGAGAATGAGGACACAGGCATTTGAGGAATCTCCTTTCTGAAGGTTCTTTCCAGTTCTCTCTGCACAGAAAGAAAGAAGGAATTCTCCCTGAAATGCCAGGAAGGGTTTCCCCAGTGGCCACCAGCCCCATTAACGACCTAGCTGGTGACCCACCTTGCTTATTCCCGAAAAGAGTCAAAGATGTCTTATTGGAGTTGCAGTCTCGATGGTTAAAGTGACGGTAAAGACTAGAACTTCTTCCTGGCCTCAGAGCATGCCTTCTCAGTGGGGGCGACATCACCCCCCAAGAGGCAAAAACTGGTTGTCTGGGGCTAAAGGTCTCACACATCACAATGCTTTGTGGCCCTCCAAAGCTCAGCCCTACCCAACAAAAATCTTACTCGTTAATATTTAATATAATGCGCAGAGGATAATTAAGAAAGTGTCTAAAAAGCCTCCTGGGGGTGGGGTGGTGATAATGAAACCACGTTGAGATCGATCACCTAGAGAGCGTGTGGGTTTGCAGAGTCTGAGCCTCATTGAAACTCTGTTTCCTCATCCCTGAGATGGGAATACACTTTGCCAGCCTCGTATCTACTAAAACCTAGGCTCTGCTGCTTCCCTCCTCCTCTGCGGGAGAAACAGAGCCCTTTTCTCTAGCAATTCAGTTTCCAGCAATATACAGGAAGGGACTTCTGCATAAAGGATGCTACAATGACAGGCACATGGCACTTGCTGTGGTGGCTTCACCCTCTCCCCGGGGACACTAAGCCGGGAGATGTCCCAGTGCTCCAGGGCACAAGGCAACGGGCAAGAGCACACTCCATCTGCTCTCTGGGACGTTCTGCAGCATCACAATTTTCCACAAAAGCGTGGAAAATGGCTCGTGATCCAACATTAACTGAGGGAAGCAAGGCAAAATTATCACCATCCTCTCGTCAAAATCGAATGAATTCTGTGAATGTAGAGACTGAAACCCCGGACAGGAATGGGGGAAAATGCAAACGGCTGACTCTTGAGGGCAGTGGGCAGAGGGAAGATGGACCTTAGACTTCGGGTTTGCATTTGATGTTGACATAGTATTGCTTCTCCAATGAATTAAAGTGTTTTTGAAAAAGGGTGGAGGGAGAAGAGAAAAAGTCCCCTTCCACCAGCTTTATTCATTTGCCTGAGAAACAGGCACTGCATCTGGTCCCAGGAAGAAGGAATCCCAGAGAGCAGGAGGGGAGAATGGTGGTAGGGGGCACCCAGGGTTAAGGAGATGGGCGCGTCCGGGTCCGCTGGTGGGCTGCCCTGCCCTGGCTTCTTGCCACCATCACCCCCCCGCCCCCGGCAGGTGCCCCACAGCCTGGCGCCCCTGACCCGCCTTCGCTGCCCTGGAAATCAAAGTCAAATCATGAACCTTTTCCTCAAAACCACTTATTTTCTTCCCTTTGTGGATGGTACCCCACCCTCCTGGGAGGCATGCCAGACCCCCCTCTCTCTCTCCCAACTCGTTCCCACAGGAGACCCAGGACTAGCCAGTCCTCCTCAGAACTGCCTCTCTCTCATCCGTCTTCAGGCCTGGTGGCCCCTCTCCTGGGGACCACGGCCGTCCCCAACAGTCCACTCCCCACAAGCCTTCCAGACAGATCTCCCTAGAACACTGCTCTGCCACATAAAACCTCCTCTGATTCTCAGACGCTATTCAAAAGCCTCTCCCAGCACTCAAGCAAGCCTTCTCTCCCAGCAGACTGTTCCAGAAGCATGCCATTCTGCTCCTACTTCCACCCCTTTGCTCTTGCTGCCTGGGGTGCCCTCCCTTCTGTCTCCACCTGCCCAAGGCTGGCCAAAGGCCCCGGATCATAGCCGACCCCATGTGCATCCAAAGCCCATCCCAACCAGGCCAACCGGGCCGGTCACTTCTCCCTCCTATCCCCCAAAAATCTCCCCTGGAAGACCTCTGAAGTATATATTTATCTAGTACACGTTACAGGTTTAGGACAAAGTGACAGAGTCTCTGCCCTCATGGTCCCTAATGAAAGAGATGCATATAGACAAAGAGGTGACCCAGCAATCAGAAATGGTGACACATGCTGTGAAGGCTGGAGTGCTCCTGGAGGGGTGGCCTCACTCTGCCCCGCGACATCAATGATGCGAAACCTGCTCTTTGCCGTCTCCTCCCTTCCCATCCACCCGCCAGGGCCCCCCTGCAGGAGAACAGCACCTTCTAAGTCAGTGCTCGAGAAATATTTCCTGCACACATTCTCAGCATTTCCCATGCAACATGTTTTTCTATTTTCTCTTTTCTCTTCCTGCTCCACTGCTGTTTCTCATTGTTTTGTTTGTTTGTTGGTTGGTTGGTTGGTTGGTTGGAAATGTCTCTCTCAATACTAGGATAAACTAACATTTTTTTTTTCTGAAGTAGAAAGATTTCTATAGTAACCCAGCAGACTCCATATGGGGAATTACTAAAAATGCTGGCTTCTTTTTCATCCCCAGGAGCCAGGAATCCAAATGGCAAATCACTTCCGGCTTGAACACCCTTCGGGATTGATAGATGCTCCCCTGAACAGTTTCCAGTTGAGGTCTGAGGAGCCCTGGGGTCACCCACCATCACCTGCAGGGGCTGCACTGGCCATTCCAAGTGTCTCCTTGGCTCTACATCACCAAGTGATGGTGAGCAGAGTTGCCCAGGAAAATGAAGTACACTCCACTAGTTCTCCTTTTCTGCAAGGACCCCGATTCTCTACACGGAACAACTATTTAAAGATACCAGCTACCCAGAGTCTCTGTGCAGTAGCTCATTTTAAATGCATTTAGATTCATTGCTTTTGACATTAATTGCACCAGCTGAGTGGATATTTGCCCAGTTTCTGGACTCGCAAAGATATCCCGAGATGTGCAGTAAGCAAAGCTGAATTAACCCACAAGTGCTCCGTGAAACGGAAGGGTGAGCTGAGCCATATGAGTGCCAGAGAATGCAGAGCAGCAGGGATGATTCACAGACCTCAGGTCCAGACACATTATCCTGATTTCTAAAGAGCACGACAGCAAGACAATTTCTCTAGCATGTTCCACCTCTAAGTCTAAGCTGACAGGTGTCTGGAAGCTCTGTGGGAGTGTCTCAGATTAAATGACATTGAGACAAACAGGGCTTGTTGATTCCCTGGGATGAGGCGGAGAAGCCTCTGGGCTCAGTCTAATTGCTCCGACCTCAGGAATGTCTCCGGCACTTGGACTGGGCCTCTGGCTCCTTCTCTCGGCACCCATGAGCCCTTGCTTTGCGCCTTGCTAATTTGCTCTTGGTGAATCCTTGTTCTGTAAATGCATTCGTGGGGATATCTCTCCATTCTGTCTCTTCAAACAGATTCTCAGGTATCCAAGGATTTCTCATTTGTCAGTGTCCCCCAAGCATTCCAAGCACCGTGCTGGGGGCAAAGGCTGAACAGGATTTTATAGGCAAAGCACTCAGCACAGACACTGTTCTTTCAGCTTGTCCTCATAAATGGCTGGTCCCTTCTCCCCTTCGGGCCCAGTATGCAAACACTGTCCACGGCTCGGAATTACTTGGTTTCTGTAACTAAATCTGGGGACGATCTCGGCTGGGGTGGACTTTTGCTCCTAACGGCACTAAAATCCTAAGATCTATAAAGGTATCAGTCAGTAGTTCTGAAGCCTGGCCGTACGTTAGAAACGCAGGGAGAGCTTTTAAAAATTTAGACCTCCAGGCCCTCCTCCTAAGGATTCTGCTTTAAAAAGTGGCCTGAGGTGAGGTTCAAGTACAGATATTTTTCCAAATTTCCCCAGGTGATTCCGTGACATAACCAAGACGGACAATCAGAGAGTGAATAACAAGGGGCAGAGTTCTAGATTTCCTTGGTGACTGGGCTTCCCCATCAGTAAGGTCAGGAAATAGTCCCTGCCCTCCTGGGGTGGTTAGGAGGGCTGACCACACTGATGCAGGTAAACTGCTCAGGTAGTAAATTAACATAGGTCCTACATGAAGGCTTCCAGCTATTACTTTTATCGGTGGTGTTCTAGATCCTTTTTCTTCTTTAACTCTGCCTATGACTAACATCCTCAAGTCAGTTATCACTCAAACACACAGTGAATCTTAAGAACTATTATTAAATCAGAAAAGTCTGGGTCCAAATTCTGTTTCAACCATTTGCTGGATAGGGAGCCTTCCTCTGGTCACTGGAACCCCAGTGAGGCATTCTCAATGTAGAAACCACAAGCATTCAGTGTGGCTTCAGAAAACCAAAAGGACCATTCAGATTCCTATCTCAAACACACCATCCTAATTTCTAGAAAGAAAAACAAACAAAAAAAAAACTATGTTCTTCTGGGCACAGGATATAATGCTCTTTGAGAATTCTGGAGCTTACCTGGCGCATTTCCTTATAGTTGTGGTGCTTAAAATCCAGGTCATCAGTGGTGGTCATTTCGTTCCTTCGATGATAATAGTTATTTGGATCTAGGGATAGAAATACGGTTTTGAATTCACTCACATAAGTCGGTTACTTGTAAGGTCAGGAAACAGTCCCTGCCTTCCTGGGGTGGTTAGGAGGGCTGACCACGTTGCCTGATTCATGTGGAGACACAACCCAATCTCAAGCAAGCTTCTAACATATGCACAGAGGTGAGACAGCCAACTTTCGAGAAGCATCTCAGGAGTCAGAATTAGCCAGTGGTGGAGATGGACCTGGAGCCAGAATGCCTGGTTCAAATCTCCACTCTTCTACTTAAGTGCAGTGTGAACTTAGATAAGTCCCTGGAGCAGTCTCTGCCTTAGTTTCTTCACCCGGAAACAGGGAAGAAAGGTACTTCCCTCATTGGTTCTCGGTTGGTGTTAGTTGGAATAATCTATGTGCCTGGCAAACTGTTGGCACTGAATGAATGAGTGAGTGAATGAATGAATCATTGAATGAATATCACAACTGTATACATAAATGGAAACTTCTGGAAGTATGGTGCACACTATTAGTTACTCATCCAGCATTCAGTCCACTTCCATCCTTCCTAACAGAAACCCTGTGTGGTTTGGGAATCACCCCAAAGCTTCCAGGAAACAGACCTCGCATCCCAGCCCAGGGAGCCAGCGTGACTGGTGGCAACCAGTCAGAGCCCAGCACACCCTGGCCACTCTTCCTGGTCCAGATGGGAGGGAGGCACAGAGGAGTGAGAATCTCTCCGGAGTAGAGGACAGAAAGAACCCCACCAACATCAGGAGCTACTTCCAATCACGTGACTTGTCAAATTCCCTTACTCACTAAGCCAGGGGGGCTGGGGTTTCTGTTGTTGGAGCCGGAGACCCCAACAGGCAGGATCAGGCTATATTAACACTGGTCACCTATGGGGACTGGGATTCAGGGGTCTGGGAGGAGAGGTCTGCTCTTGACTTGATTCTCTTCCCCACATAAACTGACCTTTTCCTTTAATACATGTAAGCCCTGTTGTTTATATAATTATGAGAACAAAGGACCCTCAGAATTAGGAGAAGAGAGGACCCTCAAAGGACAGGCTGGGGAAGAAGACTGAGGAGGAGTATAAAGGGGAAGAGCACTCAGTGAACCTGGAGGGCTTCCCCTGGACCTGGACGCAGGTCTTTCCCTGGCCGCAGCCAGCCCCATGGCATCTCCAACTGGACGAGGAAGACAGAAATCCTGGCCAGCTCCTGACCTAGAGAGAACGTACTGCTCTCGACAGGTGACTCTCCTAACCCAGACCCCTGTAGGCAAGGCTGAAGCCACAGCAGCTGTGGGTTTGATCCAAGAGGCTCGAAGGGGGAGTCCAGAGGCAGTGGCAGGGGTGGGTGACAGAGGGATGAGCGTTTGTTCCGAGTGGTATCAGGAGCCGCGGGTCCCGCTTTGTGCCACCAAAGGTGCTCCTCAGACCAGCACTCCAGCTGCCTGTAAACCCAGCCCAGACCTACTGAATCAGAACCCACAGTAAAAACAATCCCCGCTGACTCCACAGGCTCGGAAGTCTGAGGAGCACTCTGTTAAAGAACCAAGCACGCTGCCGGCAGGAACGAGGCCCTGGATGCACACTGCACACAGCTCCCGTCCACCGAGCCATGGCCATGACCGCCGTAACCGACCTTGCCAGGGTTCGCCTGCACTGGCTTCACCCTTGAGAACTGCGGCTCCATGCAATGCGCTGAAAATCACAGAGAGATCCAAACGCCAACAAACCAGATTTTAGTATCCACCAAAGTATTATTTGCCAGGAATACCATGAGAAACAAGGACTATCCCTGAAAGGGAGAAAGTAGGAGGGCAGGCTGCCATTTTGTCCAGGAAAGAGCAGAAGCCGATCAGGTTTTGCCCAGGCCCCCCCCCCCCCAAACACATTTCAAGCACTTTCCTTCTGGGAGTGTGGGCTGGCCACAGGCAAGCTGCCTCCCCTTGGGTTTCCAAACCTGTATGTCTCAAAGCAAAGGTAAAGCATAGTTTTCACATTAATTTACACTTCGTTTACCCATATGATGTTTTCTAAGAGCTACTCAACACTCCCCAAGTCCAGGGGCCTCTTTCCAAAACTCTTTAAAGCCCCTTTGCCTTCAAACACAAGTTATGCCTTCAAGGTTCTTAAAAAGGATTGAAGAAAAACTCAGAACTCTAAGTACAAAGGAGCCCCACGTTTGGCAATGTTCTGCCTTCCTTAAGACTAGTCAATTTGCCTAAGGACAAGGGTACAAGTTTCAGAACTATCTCAAAACCACAGGTCAGTATTCTTCACAACTTCCCATCGCCCACATTTGGAGCAAATAATTCTTTATCAACTGATTCTGATTAGATGAAGTTTTACTGAGAACCTATTAAGAGCCTAGTACTGCAGGTAAAGAGATGAGCAAGAACCGAATCTGGTCCTCTTGGGGCCCAGAGTCTGCAATCCCAGTCAGTTAGTCAAACTACTGGCCCCTTCCTCTTTCTGTGGGCAAAAGACCCCCTTTTCCTGTGGGGAATCTATTCCAGATGTTTCAGATAAAATTGCCTTGCCTCGTATGCACAGTTAGGAGTATGTGACTGAGGTTCAGGCATGAAACAGCGTCCTCTACCCATAGTCACTGGCTCAGAGGTGATCCCAAGATCCTAGGATCCAAGCTGGGAATCAGATGACTTTCCTCCCAGAGATAAGAGGAGAGTCTCCTTCCCCTGGAGTTGCTCAGATGGTGGAATGAGTTTGGGGTGTTGATCTCCCTGTCTGTGAGATGAACAAAAGGGGAGGCCTGACTCCCTGAGAAGACCGTGACATAGGAGACCTATTCTTGCCTGAAGCCAGAGTCAGAATCAGATCCACCCCTGGAATTTTCATTTATGTGAGCCAAAATCCCTCCCGCCATAAGCTAATTAGAATAGGGCTTCTGACATTTGAAACGTAAGTCCTGATTCAGTCTGTGAGGCCTTTATCCTCACAGATGGAGCTTGGGAGAATCAGTTTCCTGCTTCCCTTAGAGTGTGTGGTTTCACACGTCATATGTCCTGAACACCAGCCGATTCCTTCCGCAACACCTTAGTTACAGGGACAAACTCCCGACGGGGCGTGTAGAGCCTCAAACCATGCCCTTGACTTTTCTTCTCTTATTCAGCTATTTAAAATCCTGCTTTGCCTGAATTTGTCTACTGATTATGTACGCATTGTGGGGGCTGAATTATGTCCCCCCCCCAAAAAGATATGTTGGAGTCCTAACCCATAGCACTTCCGGATGGGACTTTATTTGGAAAGAGGGTTTTTACAGAGGTCAGCAAGTTAAAATGAGGTCATTAGAGCAGGCCCTGACCCATTATGCCTGGTGTCTCTAGCAAGGGGGCGGGTGCAGACACAGAGGTAAGCATGCAGAGAAAAGGCTCTGTGGAGGTGAGGGCACAGATGGGGTGACGCATCTACAAGAGAGGGAAACCAAAGACTGCCAGAGGTGACCCCCCCAGAAGCCGGGGTAGAAAGAGGGAGCAGGTTCTCCCTCACAGCCTTCGAAGGAGCCAGCCCTGCTGACGCCTAGCTCTAGATAGAACTTCTGGCCTCGGGGCGCCTGGGTGGCTCAGTCGTTAAGCGTCTGCCTTCGGCTCAGGTCATGATCCCAGGGTCCTGGGATCGAGCCCCGCATCAGGCTCCCTGCTCTGCGGGAAGCCTGCTTCTCCCTCTCCCACTCCCCCTGCTTGTGTTCCTCTCTTGTTGTGTCTCTCTCTGTCAAATAAATAAATAAAAATCTTTAAAATTAAAAAAAAAAAAAAAAAAAAGAACTTCTGGCCTCCAGGACTCAGACAGTAACTTTCTATTATTCCAAACCACCCAGGTCTGGGCACTCTTTACGGCAGCCCTAGGAGACTGCTAGGAACCTGGGACATTCCTGCCTCCTCACTGCCATGGACACCCGCTCTTCCCATCCCCACACACACGCCAGCTCACTCCACGGGGCTCTTTTTAAAAGACAACAGTGATCATTCCAGATCAAACCGAATTCCTGGAAATCCGGGGTGGGGGGGATGGTATCAAGATTCTTGGACTGTTCTGCTTTGCTACTTGCTTGCTTTGGGGACCTTGCTTGATGGGAGCGGGCGTTCAGTGGGGACAGGAGAGGCTAGCTTTGCTGGAAAGGAGGCTCACATGCAATCAAGAATCACTGGGCTCACAATGCCTTTGACATTCCTATCCAGAGCAGGCGATCCATAGAGGCAGAGATTAGAGGTCACAGGGATGGCGGAGGGGGTCAGGAAGTGATGACTCGATGGGCCCCGGTGGGTGGGTTTATGGGTCCACGATGAAGTTCAGACACCAGACAGAGTCGGTGATTGCAACACCTTGTGAATACGCTAAATACCACTGACGTGTATCTTTAAAATGGTTCATTGGACGTTACACGAGTTTCACCTCATTTTTTTTTTTTTAAAGGGCTGCCTGCCTCCTCTGCAGACGAGGAGGCCACCAGAGACACATCGCCAGAAAAGACAGTTGTCAAAAGTGCTGATGTTTCTACAGTTCCCCAATAATCAACATGGAGCAGCTGGACCAAGAAGAGAAACCACGAGTTTATCTAAGCTCAGTAAGGGCACACTGCCCTCAGTTGCAGGGAGAAGAGGCAGCACCCAGCAAGGCTGGATCCCCCTGAACTGAGAGGGGTTCCCTTGGGGTAAGGATGCCTGACACGCTTCCCTGGTTATACTGCGAGAGCTCTGGGGGCAGTGAAGGTGTCTGTCTTCTCCCAGAATCCCAGGGCCCTGCCTCAGAACGGGCACATCCTACGTGTCTGATGTATGAATGCAGGAGTGAGGAATGAATGAATGGGGTTATGGATGGACAGAGATCCCAATCAAGTTACTCAGGAAAGACTACTTACGAAAAAGTTAACACTTTCCGGGGCTGGGAGACCTCTGAGAAGGGGCCCACTTCGTGCTGCGATGCTATGCCCTATCACCAGGGTGGAACGAAGGCGGAAATGTAGGGCAGAGGGCGTCGTGAATGCCAGCCACATCC